AAAACTGTGTCTCCTACAGTTTTGATGCTAGAACAAAAATTTTAACTGAAATGTAATTTTCTCATCAATACCTATCGATTGACCCAAAAAAAGTTGCCACGCCCACCCTAACGCCCATAAACCGCCCACAAACTTCAAAAAATCGTAAATATGAACGTGGATATCTCGGAAACTATCAAAGATAGAGAATTTGGATTTCAGATTTAGATTCCGTAGCCTTATACGCAGCGCAAGTTTGTTACGCGAATATGCCACGCCCACTCTAACGCCCACAAACCGCGAAAGCCTGTGACGCCCACAATTTTTATGCTAGATAAAAAATTTTAACTGAAATGTATTGGTCTCGACAATACCTATCGATTGGTCCAAATCGCCCATAACGCCTAAATCTGTATACCGCCGGTAGGTGGCGCATTTTAATATCGCTTTGCTACTTGCATATCTCTATTTAGCTGAGTAACGGGTATCTGATAGTCGAGGTACTCGACTATAGCGTTCTTCCTTGTTTTTTTTGTAAATTAGTATTTCCTTACTTAGTATCCAGTGTATCCACCTCTATTTTTGGCCACTACTGCTATTCTTTTTGGCATACTTTTAATAAGAGCCTGGCAGGTCTCTACTGGTGTCTCATACCACAGTTTTTGGACACCTTCCCATAATTTTTGTTTATTTGAAAATGAATGCTTCGTCAATTTTTTTTTTAAGTCTCCCAACAAGTTTTTAAGGGGGTTAAGGTCGGGAGATTGGCTTGGCCACTTCAGAACGTCAACTTTTTGGTCCTCGAAAAATTTAGATAACAGCCTTGATGTGTGTTTTGGATCATTATCTTGCTGAAATACCCAACGTTATGGCATGTTTTCCTCAGCATACGGTACCATAACTTTTTCCAATATGAATTTGTACTCTTCAGCATTCATTTTGTTCGTAGTCTGATAAATTGGACTTACGCCGTACCAGGAGAAGCAACCCCATACCATTATATTGCCACCTCCATGTTTGACTGTTTTTTTTGTAAACCGTGGATGGAATTCCTTTGCGTTAGGGCGTCGGAATGTTCACAGTCATTTCCAAACAAATTAATCTTGGTTTCATCGCTCCATAATATGTTTCTCCATTTTTTCTCCCCGGTGCATCCTACACTTATAAAATTATTTTTCTAAATTCTAAAAAAATCGGCCTAAACATGAAATCGCCCTAACATTAAGAAAAATCGCCCTAAATATAGGAAACATCGCCATAGAAAATATGTTTTAGGGTTAATTTTTCTAAAATTTCTATTATTTAGGGCGAATTTTTTCGAGCATATGCCTGTAATATTTTCTCATATTTAGGGCAAATCGCCTTGTTTCGTGAAACAAAAAATCATCCAAAATCGCCCTTGAAACTAGAAAATCGCCCTTGAAATTTGAAAATCGGTGGCCTAGCGGTCTAATGCGTTGAGCGTTCAAACTCGTCTAAATGGCGTGAGTTCGAGCCCACGAAGAGTCAACATTTATTTTTCATTTTTGTGCAAGTTTTTAGAATTGAATTCTTGAACAATTTTGTGTGCAGAGGCAAAACAAATATTAGAACACGTCAAAATAACAAAAAAAAAATGTATATTACATTAAAATAATAGTTTTTAATGATTAAGTCTAATTGGGTAATATAAATCATAGTTTATTGTCATTAGTGAGAATATTTCTTAGAATTAAATTGAAAATTTGTTCTTAGAACAAATTGAGACATGGAACCTTTTTGCGCGTCGCCTAACGAGATGCGTCTTTGGTGCAGCGGTAGTGCTCTCGACTGCGAACCCAGCGGTCGTGAGTTCGATTTTCGCTGCGACCACGAAGATTTTTCTCAATAAGTAAGTTGTTTTATATTTATCTTATTTCCCTGATTCTGTTTAATGACTACTTTTAGTTCGTATGTCTCTAATTAGCAGTTTACCAACGTGCGTGGAGCGGCCAAATAATAACCTTGCCCTTCTCACCCTCTCAAATTATAGTAAAAAAGGAAACTAAGTCAAAATTCCTGGAAAAAGTACCGCAGATAATGTTTGCTGAGAACCAGCAAACATGTCCAAACACGTTTTTTTTATACAAATTAGTTTTAATATTTAGGGCACTTGCTCTTGTTTTTAGGGCGCTTCGCCATAATTTCAAGAAATACCGCCGTGGATGCTTAAAATTTGTTTTTATATGTTAAGGGTATTTACCTTTGAAAACAGAAAAATCGGCCAAGATTTAAGAAAATTAACCCTAGATCTAAGAAAAAACGCCCTAAATGTAAGACCAATACATGCCTATTTTTAGAAAATGTTGCCCTTATTTTGTTACCCAGTCGCCATTGACCCCCGTTTTAGGGCGATTTTCCTTGTTTTTAGGGGGATTTTACAGTAAAATTTCTATGAGTGTATCCAGTCTTTGTGGTCCCTTGCAAAAGTTTGCCTCATGGTGATATTTTTTTTGCGCATAAGTGGGACTTTTCTGGCAATTCTTCCTGGTACGCTGGCATTTTGTAGTCGTCTTCGGATAGTTGGAGCACTAACTGAATTCCCAATTTCGGCTGCATTAGCCTTCGATGACTTAAATGGGTCCTTTTTGCTCAAAGTTACTATGTAGTGTTCAAGGGTTTTTGTTGTTTTTAGTGGCCTTCCACGGGTTTCCTGTCTTGGTTTTCTTTCTAATGCATTTTTAACAAAATTATGAGACCTGTTCATTAATTTGGCGATGGCTCGTAAAGATTTGCCTTCTTTTTTCAGACTAAGAACCAATCGAGCTTCTTTCTGAGAGAATGAGTCGCAAGACTCATTTTTTCAAAAAAAAAATAAATATTTAATTCTCGGTATTGACAGGAGCTATACTTAATTTACCTTTAGTTACCAAAAGATCACTGATTACAAAATAATTCACTCGATACTTGTGGGAAACGGAGACTGTACCTATTATTATGATTAGGCGAAATGTGTGGTGGACTCGCAATTAATAGAAAAGCTTTGATATACGGGGCATCCCCTCTTTCAACTCTTTGTCACAGTGTCGCCAGACGTTGACAACAAAAAACAAAAAATTAAAAAGTTGTCAACACTAAGAGTACCAAAAAACCATTTATAAATAAGAAATTCCGGTGTGTACCTATTAATATGATCAGGTGTGTATGTATATACGTATGTACATATGTACTCTTGCACCTTTTTTCCATGATGCACTTTACAAAAACAAATTAGATTAAAAAACTTACCCTCAGGGTACGGAAGGGCCGATAGAAGGTCCAACTCCTCAAACAAATCTTTCAACGACATCGCGCACGTCTAATCCTTCGAAACCGTGAGAGAGAGAGAGACAACCATATACGCAACGGACTAAAGGCCGCTCATCTCTCGTCTCGTTCGCAGAACGAAATTCTCTAGAACTAATTATGAGAATTATCAACTCATTTTTGAGTTTATCGATTACTCATAATGGGAATATTAATTCTCAAGTTGGAAATTGAAGAACACATTTCCTCAAACTTAGAATTTTGCGATCAATTCAAGTCCTTTTACTTAAAATGAGTGAAGCTTTTCTCAACATTAGTTTTTTCCACAAATTTTGTACTTAAATTGAGTACATCCTCAAATTGAGAATACAAATACTCAATTTCAGAACGTCATAATTTTCTCTGTGTGCTTAAGAGGTCCGCAGTTTTTAATTGCTGTTGAGTAATTGAGAAGTAATGTTTGGGCTTTAAAGGCCCAAAAAGCTCCAGGTAATTTCGATGGTGCAAGCAAACAAGCCTTTGCAGCTCTCTTATATTCTCTTCAGTAACAGCTCCCAGCTTCTGTTACCTTCTGGTATTAAGTCACCAATTTGTAATGTTAGGAAATGCACTAGAGAAAACATTTGAGTTGCATTCATCCCCAAATGAAAATTCTTCAGTTTTTCGAGCTCGATGCTTTTCGACTTATTTCCTATCTCAGTCTCTCCATATTTAAAAAGATTTTTCCTACAATTTAATTCATCTATAGTTATAAATTTATCTTTTATTAGAGCGCATAATATGTTGCATACATCGTATATGCACACCCCCTCAAACACATCATGCATTATATCAAAACAAATGTTTTCTACAACATGAAATAACGTTAGATCATTAAAAATGCAAACGCTCTTTACACCAGTTTCTTGAAAATTATTTAAACTTAGGGGTTCAGCATAATTAATTTTGTTTCTTAAATGGGATTCTGACTGTTCAGTATCCAGTTTCATTTCTGCTTTTGGTTTTGTACATGCTCTGCAATACATTTTGGAATTAAATGACTGCACGAAGCCATTAATTCCATTAACTGCCAAATTATCTCCAACTATCAGTCCCAAAACAAAGTAAACTGTTACTTTTCCACTGTCAGTTCTTAGCTGTATACCATTTTCTAAAATTTTCAGTTCTTCTACAAGATGATAAAACGATTTTTAATTTCCGCACTTTTTAATGGCGGCTTAAGATATAAATGCGATCTGAAAGATAAAACTCACTTTCGATCGGAGGTGTGAAGGAAAAGTAGGAAATGATATGTAACAACCACATAGTGGAAACGTTCGACCGCCAAGAGGATTTTTTATTTTCGAAGTCATCAAAATATAAAATGTATGGTATTACTATCTTATTCAAAAAGCGTTTTACTATATTTTTAAAAATGTTTCCATTGATAAAACTTTTTATGGTGCATTAATGGGAAATGTTTAAAATTTTTTTGTAAGAAATATTTCAAAAGTTGGGGAATTACAAAAATTTTTTGAAATATAAATACCAGTGGCATTATATAAATATGATCTGTCTGAATTCCCAAAGTAGGATTGCCTTGCAAAACTATTTCTGATACTCGTTCATCAATTTTAAATGTTTTTGCATTTCTAAAAAAATTAAGTTTTCTTAAAGTTGCAAGCAATTTAAACTCAGATCGAGTGTACTGAAAAGGCTGTTTACAAAAACAGATCAAATTTTGAAGTTCTTCATTATTAGTGCTGCCCTACTGAAACTAAAATGGTTAAAATCATATTTTGTGATTTAGATACATGTTTTCGGGGCATCGAGTTTAAGTCAGACATTTCCATTGATAGCAAAAGAGCTTTGGTTTTTAAGTCAACCAAATTATTAAGGGAAGCTGTAGAACTAATGTTGCTAACAATATCATCATATCCGCCCGATGAGAAGCAAAAAATAATTTCATTGTCGACTTCAACAAAATTTTCAAAAGAAAGACTCAGAAGAAATGGAAGCCGGTTCAATCACAGTTGGTTGCTGTTCAAAAATGTTCAAAGTTCCAAAGGTATAGGGGCTTGTAAAAATTTGATGACAGTTACAACGAACTGAAGCGGTTTTATTTAAGCAATGCACTTTTCGGAAATGGCTCACCAAATCTCGAGGAGTATCGAAAGAATTGAAACATTTAAAGCAAACAAACATTTTGGCTTTATTTTGATAAGTCGAAAAAGGTTGTAATAATAATACAGATAAAGATGATTTTAAAAAGTTCAGTAGCAAAGCAAGAGATGAGGATTTTGAATCTTAGATTATGTCAAGGTTAAAAAAAAATTTTTCCACTTGGAAAAGTTTGAAGCACATAGTAAAACTTTCTAAGAATGAAGAAAACTTTACCAATCGTTTTTCAAAATAAACATAAAATGATTTTATGTCCGAATCCTCCAATCCTTCCACTATTAAAAGTGGCTGCAACTTCATTCCTGCGTTGTAGTATTTGCTTATCATCGTATTGATTTTAGTCTGGTAGTTGTTCAGATTGGTTAATTTGAGGACCATGCTCTCCTGACAATCCGAAATTGTTTCCTTCCTGATTTTTTTTCCCATATGATCCGAAAAACGACAAGTCGTTGGAAGGACAGCATTGAGAAGAATTGTGTAAAGATAATCCTTCGTGTCTGAAAAACGAGATTTACTTACATAAAAATATTTCAAAACCATTTCAAAAATACTTTACCAACGTGGGAAGTCTCGCAAATTTGAGTTAGCAGCTTCTTGCAGTACTCATTTGTTATGTTTTCCATATAATAACCGAAAATCTTTGATTTAAAGTTATCCCATTGAGAAAAAGCAAGTTTTGCATGTTTGGGTATAGCAAACTGAAATCAATGTTAATCTAAAAGTAAGAAATTTAAAATTGAAACTTTGTTAAGATATGTAAAATAATAATTTAATTCAAACTTACTAGATCGGTTACTTTAGCGTGGCTAAATTTTGTTCACTGCTGAAAGAATGTTACACTGTCCATTTCCTTAGACTCCCGCTGACTAAGAGGAAAAGTATCCTTCCAGTTGGCACAGACTAAATCCCAATCTGAGCAGTCTCTATTTAGCAATGCTTTCTTTGCTGCTGCCTCGAATTCGTCGATTTCAAAAACTTGTGAATTTGCTTGAATAGAAGAATTCTCGTCCATCGTAGGTAACTTAACCTTTTTAGATAGCTTTCGGCTACGCATATATATATATATATCTATGTACGAATGTATGTGTGACTGCAACTGAAGCACCGTGCTTCATGCAAATTATAGTCACACATAAATTCGTACATGTTGATGTACGTGCATGTACATCATGCTTAGGCAACATTTTTGCAGCGTATGTTATTGTTGGGTAAAGGAGCAGGTGTTAAATGTTTTAGCTATTTCAATGGACATATGTACATATATGTATATACATACATATGCATGTAATTATAAACTTGTAGTTGTTTTTTTAATGCACTTTATTTTAGATTCACATTATTGTTTAACATACACCACTTTTATGTACATACATACGTATATACATATATTCTATTGCATCTAACCATGCAACTACACACCTGATCATATTAATAGGTACACACATCAACTCTGACTTAAAGGTAACAAAATAAAGACTTATTCATTGATTCAAACTTAATATTTGTTCTCTATTTGTTTTTAATAAAATAAACTTAACTGTAACATAGGATAATAATATAACATAAAAGAGATAATTTTGTGTTTCAGATACGTTTTCAGAGTGATCATAATAATAGGTACACTTCATGTGTTGGTAGGAAAAAAAATTTTAATTTCCATTTTGTATTTTTATACTCGTTACTCGTAGAGTAAAAGGGTATACTAGATTCGTCGGAAAGTATGTAACAGGCAGAAGGAAACGTTTCCGACCCCATAAAGTATATATATTCTTGATCAGGATCACTAGCCGAGTCGATCTAGCCATGTCCGTCTGTCCGTCTGTCTGTCCGGATGAACGCTGAGATCTCGGAAACTATGGGAGCTAGGCTATTGAGATTTGGCGTGCAGATTCCTGAGCTTCTTACGCAGCGCAAGTTTGTTTCAGTAGAGTGCCACGCCCACTCTAACGCCCACAAACCGCCCAAAACTGTGTCTCCTACAGTTTTGATGCTAGAACAAAAATTTTAACTGAAATGTAATTTTCTCATCAATACCTATCGATTGACCCAAAAAAAAGTTGCCACGCCCACCCTAACGCCCATAAACCGCCCACAAACTTCAAAAAATCGTAAATATGAACGTGGATATCTCGGAAACTATCAAAGATAGAGAATTTGGATTTCAGATTTAGATTCCGTAGCCTTATACGCAGCGCAAGTTTGTTACGCGAATATGCCACGCCCACTCTAACGCCCACAAACCGCGAAAGCCTGTGACGCCCACAATTTTTATGCTAGATAAAAAATTTTAACTGAAATGTATTGGTCTCGACAATACCTATCGATTGGTCCAAATCGCCCACTCTAACGCCCATAACGCCTAAATCTGTATACCGCCGGTAGGTGGCGCATTTTAATATCGCTTTGCTACTTGCATATCTCTATTTAGCTGAGTAACGGGTATCTGATAGTCGAGGTACTCTACTATAGCGTTCTTCCTTGTTTTTTTTTGTAAATTAGTATTTCCTTACTTAGTATCCAGTGTATCCACCTCTATTTTTGGCCACTACTGCTATTCTTTTTGGCATACTTTTAATAAGAGCCTGGCAGGTCTCTACTGGTGTCTCATACCACAGTTTTTGGACACCTTCCCATAATTTTTGTTTATTTGAAAATGAATGCTTCGTCAATTTTTTTTTTAAGTCTCCCAACAAGTTTTTAAGGGGGTTAAGGTCGGGAGATTGGCTTGGCCACTTCAGAACGTCAACTTTTTGGTCCTCGAAAAATTTAGATAACAGCCTTGATGTGTGTTTTGGATCATTATCTTGCTGAAATACCCAACGTTATGGCATGTTTTCCTCAGCATACGGTACCATAACTTTTTCCAATATGAATTTGTACTCTTCAGCATTCATTTTGTTCGTAGTCTGATAAATTGGACTTACGCCGTGCCAGGAGAAGCAACCCCATACCATTATATTGCCACCTCCATGTTTGACTGTTTTTTTTGTAAACCGTGGATGGAATTCCTTTGCGTTAGGGCGTCGAACATTCCTTTCACAGTCATTTCCAAACAAATTAATCTTGGTTTCATCGCTCCATAATATGTTTCTCCATTTTTTCTCCCCGGTGCATCCTACACTTATAAAATTATTTTTCTAAATACTAAAAAAATCGGCCTAAACATGAAATCGCCCTAACATTAAGAAAAATCGCCCTAAATATAGGAAACATCGCCATAGAAAATATGTTTTAGGGTTAATTTTTCTAAAATTTCTATTATTTAGGGCGAATTTTTTCGAGCATATGCCTGTAATATTTTCTCATATTTAGGGCAAATCGCCTTATTTCGTGAAACAAAAAATCATCCAAAATCGCCCTTGAAACTAGAAAATCGCCCTTGAAATTTGAAAATCGGTGGCCTAGCGGTCTAATGCGTTGAGCGTTCAAACTCGTCTAAATGGCGTGAGTTCGAGCCCAACAACATTTATTTTTCATTTTTGTGCAAGTTTTTAGAATTGAATTCTTGAACAATTTTGTGTGCAGAGGCAAAACAAATATTAGAACACGTCAAAATAACAAAAAAAAAATGTATATTACATTAAAATAATAGTTTTTAATGATTAAGTCTAATTGGGTAATATAAATCATAGTTTATTGTCATTAGTGAGAATATTTCTTAGAATTAAATTGAAAATTTGTTCTTAGAACAAATTGAGACATGGAACCTTTTTGCGCGTCGCCTAACGAGATGCGTCTTTGGTGCAGCGGTAGTGCTCTCGACTGCGAACCCAGCGGTCGTGAGTTCGATTTTCGCTGCGACCACGAAGATTTTTCTCAATAAGTAAGTTGTTTTATATTTATCTTATATTCCTGATTCTGTTTAATGACTACTTTCAGTTCGTATGTCTCTATTTAGCAGTTTACCAACGTGCGTGGAGCGGCCAAATAATAACCTTGCCCTTCTCACCCTCTCAAATTATAGTAAAAAAGGAAACTAAGTCAAAATTCCTGGAAAAAGTACCGCAGATAATGTTTGCTGAGAACCAGCAAACATGTCCAAACACGTTTTTTTTATACAAATAAGTTTTAATATTTAGGGCACTTGCTCTTGTTTTTAGGACGCTTCGCCATAATTTCAAGAAATACCGCCGTGGATGCTTAAAATTTGTTTTTATATGTTAAGGGTATTTACCTTTGAAAACAGAAAAATCGGCCAAGATTTAAGAAAATTAACCCTAGATCTAAGAAAAAACGCCCTAAATGTAAGACCAATACATGCCTATTTTTAGAAAATGTTGCCCTTATTTTGTTACCCAGTCGCCATTGACCCCCGTTTTAGGGCGATTTTCCTTGTTTTTAGGGGGATTTTACAGTAAAATTTCTATGAGTGTATCCAGTCTTTGTGGTCCCTTGCAAAAGTTTGCCTCATGGTGATATTTTTTTTGCGCATAAGTGGGACTTTTCTGGCAATTCTTCCTGGTACGCTGGCATTTTGTAGTCGTCTTCGGATAGTTGGAGCACTAACTGAATTCCCAATTTCGGCTGCATTAGCCTTCGATGACTTAAATGGGTCCTTTTTGCTCAAAGTTACTATGTAGTGTTCAAGGGTTTTTGTTGTTTTTAGTGGCCTTCCACGGGTTTCCTGTCTTGGTTTTCTTTCTAATGCATTTTTAACAGAATTATGAGACCTGTTCATTAATTTGGCGATGGCTCGTAAAGATTTGCCTTCTTTTTTCAGACTAAGAACCAATCGAGCTTCTTTCTGAGAGAATGAGTCGCAAGACTCATTTTTTCAAAAAAAAAATAATTATTTAATTCTCGGTATTGACAGGAGCTATACTTAATTTACCTTTAGTTACCAAAAGATCACTGATTACAAAATAATTCACTCGATACTTGTGGGAAACGGAGACTGTTCCTATTATTATGATTAGGCGAAATGTGTGGTGGACTCGCAATTAATAGAAAAGCTTTGATATACGGGGCATCCCCTCTTTCAACTCTTTGTCACAGTGTCGCCAGACGTTGACAACAAAAAACCAAAAATTAAAAAGTTGTCAACACTAAGAGTACCAAAAAACCATTTATAAATAAGAAATTCCGGTGTGTACCTATTAATATGATCAGGTGTGTATGTATATACGTATGTACATATGTACTCTTGCACCTTTTTTCCATGATGCACTTTACAAAAACAAATTAGATTAAAAAACTTACCCTCAGGGTACGGAAGGGCCGATAGAAGGTCCAACTCCTCAAACAAATCTTTCAACGACATCGCGCACGTCTAATCCTTCGAAACCGTGAGAGAGAGAGAGACAACCATATACGCAACGGACTAAAGGCCGCTCATCTCTCGTCTCGTCCGCAGAACGAAATTCTCTAGAACTAATTATGAGAATTATCAACTCATTTTTGAGTTTATCGATTACTCATAATGAGAATATTAATTCTCAAGTTGGAAATTGAAGAACACATTTCCTCAAACTTAGAATTTTGCGATCAATTCAAGTCCTTTTACTTAAAATGAGTGAAGCTTTTCTCAACATTAGTTTTTTCCACAAATTTTGTACTTAAATTGAGTACATCCTCAAATTGAGAATACAAATACTCAATTTCAGAACGTCATAATTTTCTCTGTGTGCTTAAGAGGTCCGCAGTTTTTAATTGCTGTTGAGTAATGGAGAAGTAATGTTTGGGCTTTAAAGGCCCAAAAAGCTCCAGGTAATTTCGATGGTGCAAGCAAACAAGCCTTTGCAGCTCTCTTATATTCTCTTCAGTAACAGCTCCCAGCTTCTGTTACCTTCTGGTATTAAGTCACCAATTTGTAATGTTAGGAAATGCACTAGAGAAAACATTTGAGTTGCATTCATCCCCAAATGAAAATTCTTCAGTTTTTCGAGCTCGATGCTTTTCGACTTATTTCCTATCTCAGTCTCTCCATATTTAAAAAGATTTTTCCTACAATTTAATTCATCTATAGTTATAAATTTATCTTTTATTAGAGCGCATAATATGTTGCATACATCGTATATGCACACCCCCTCAAACACATCATGCATTATATCAAAACAAATGTTTTCTACAACATGAAATAACGTTAGATCATTAAAAATGCAAACGCTCTTTACACCAGTTTCTTGAAAATTATTTAAACTTAGGGGTTCAGCATAATTAATTTTGTTTCTTAAATGGGATTCTGACTGTTCAGTATCCAGTTTCATTTCTGCTTTTGGTTTTGTACATGCTCTGCAATACATTTTGGAATTAAATGACTGCACGAAGCCATTAATTCCATTAACTGCCAAATTATCTCCAACTATCAGTCCCAAAACAAAGTAAACTGTTACTTTTCCACTGTCAGTTCTTAGCTGTATACCATTTTCTAAAATTTTCAGTTCTTCTACAAGATGATAAAACGATTTTTAATTTCCGCACTTTTTAATGGCGGCTTAAGATATAAATGCGATCTGAAAGATAAAACTCACTTTCGATCGGAGGTGTGAAGGAAAAGTAGGAAATGATATGTAACAACCACATAGTGGAAACGTTCGACCGCCAAGAGGATTTTTTATTTTCGAAGTCATCAAAATATAAAATGTATGGTATTACTATCTTATTCAAAAAGCGTTTTACTATATTTTTAAAAATGTTTCCATTGATAAAACTTTTTATGGTGCATTAATGGGAAATGTTTAAAATTTTTTTGTAAGAAATATTTCAAAAGTTGGGGAATTACAAAAATTTTTTGAAATATAAATACCAGTGGCATTATATAAATATGATCTGTCTGAATTCCCAAAGTAGGATTGCCTTGCAAAACTATTTCTGATACTCGTTCATCAATTTTAAATGTTTTTGCATTTCTAAAAAAATTAAGTTTTCTTAAAGTTGCAAGCAATTTAAACTCAGATCGAGTGTACTGAAAAGGCTGTTTACAAAAACAGATCAAATTTTGAAGTTCTTCATTATTAGTGCTGCCCTACTGAAACTAAAATGGTTAAAATCATATTTTGTGATTTAGATACATGTTTTCGGGGCATCGAGTTTAAGTCAGACATTTCCATTGATAGCAAAAGAGCTTTGGTTTTTAAGTCAACCAAATTATTAAGGGAAGCTGTAGAACTAATGTTGCTAACAATATCATCATATCCGCCCGATGAGAAGCAAAAAATAATTTCATTGTCGACTTCAACAAAATTTTCAAAAGAAAGACTCAGAAGAAATGGAAGCCGGTTCAATCACAGTTGGTTGCTGTTCAAAAATGTTCAAAGTTCCAAAGGTATAGGGGCTTGTAAAAATTTGATGACAGTTACAACGAACTGAAGCGGTTTTATTTAAGCAATGCACTTTTCGGAAATGGCTCACCAAATCTCGAGGAGTATCGAAAGAATTGAAACATTTAAAGCAAACAAACATTTTGGCTTTATTTTGATAAGTCGAAAAAGGTTGTAATAATAATACAGATAAAGATGATTTTAAAAAGTTCAGTAGCAAAGCAAGAGATGAGGATTTTGAATCTTAGATTATGTCAAGGTTAAAAAAAAATTTTTCCACTTGGAAAAGTTTGAAGCACATAGTAAAACTTTCTAAGAATGAAGAAAACTTTACCAATCGTTTTTCAAAATAAACATAAAATGATTTTATGTCCGAATCCTCCAATCCTTCCACTATTAAAAGTGGCTGCAACTTCATTCCTGCGTTGTAGTATTTGCTTATCATCGTATTGATTTTAGTCTGGTAGTTGTTCAGATTGGTTAATTTGAGGACCATGCTCTCCTGACAATCCGAAATTGTTTCCTTCCTGATTTTTTTTCCCATATGATCCGAAAAACGACAAGTCGTTGGAAGGACAGCATTGAGAAGAATTGTGTAAAGATAATCCTTCGTGTCTGAAAAACGAGATTTACTTACATAAAAATATTTCAAAACCATTTCAAAAATACTTTACCAACGTGGGAAGTCTCGCAAATTTGAGTTAGCAGCTTCTTGCAGTACTCATTTGTTATGTTTTCCATATAATAACCGAAAATCTTTGATTTAAAGTTATCCCATTGAGAAAAAGCAAGTTTTGCATGTTTGGGTATAGCAAACTGAAATCAATGTTAATCTAAAAGTAAGAAATTTAAAATTGAAACTTTGTTAAGATATGTAAAATAATAATTTAATTCAAACTTACTAGATCGGTTACTTTAGCGTGGCTAAATTTTGTTCACTGCTGAAAGAATGTTACACTGTCCATTTCCTTAGACTCCCGCTGACTAAGAGGAAAAGTATCCTTCCAGTTGGCACAGACTAAATCCCAATCTGAGCAGTCTCTATTTAGCAATGCTTTCTTTGCTGCTGCCTCGAATTCGTCGATTTCAAAAACTTGTGAATTTGCTTGAATAGAAGAATTCTCGTCCATCGTAGGTAACTTAACCTTTTTAGATAGCTTTCGGCTACGCATATATATATATATATCTATGTACGAATGTATGTGTGACTGCAACTGAAGCACCGTGCTTCATGCAAATTATAGTCACACATAAATTCGTACATGTTGATGTACGTGCATGTACATCATGCTTAGGCAACATTTTTGCAGCGTATGTTATTGTTGGGTAAAGGAGCAGGTGTTAAATGTTTTAGCTATTTCAATGGACATATGTACATTAGGGTGTCCCTTATTTTTCATGTTTGATATATTTTTACGCATACCTTCTTAAAACGTTCCTAATAACTCAATATGTTCTAGAAAAAAATACTAGCCCGTTGCATGCAAGAGAACACGTGCCGACTTGCAATTTAAGCTTGTCCGTACAAGTTGGTGCGGTTACAGCGCTGCGACTATGGACTACGCTTCATTCGTTATTTCATTCGTAAGTTTTGGTGTTATTGGTGCACTATTGTTTGTTGAGTAAAGATGTCAGTGACATTACGTAATGATAAAGAAAATATTTTTCTTATCGGGCTACCTAGTCATCAAATCACTGGTGCAAAGTTACCATCAAATCGCCAGGTTCTCTCCGTTTTATTTTATAATATTCGGCAAGTCAAGCTAACTCTCAGTGAAAGTGCAAATCTTGTGACTAGGGAGTGTTTAATATTTTGGGAAAAAGCGAGAATTCCCACAAGGGCATTGCCCAATTGCGTGAAGAAACTTATTGATTTATACCATGCTTGGAGAGAGCTGCAAAAAAATTGTAAAAAAACTCTAGCCACTTTTAAGGACCGAGAAAAGAATTTTAAAATAAGCCTTGATAACTTATTTGATATTGCACATGCTGATGCCTTGAAAATAATAAAAATAGAGGAAGACAAACTATTTTTGAATAAACAAAGAGAACCAGGTCGACCAGGATATTTAGCTGGTGTAGACAAAAAATTGACGGAGAAAGAAGAAAGAGTTAGACAGAGACGATTAGACGATGAGGAAAGAAAATTAAGACAATGGAATTATTGGCTGTTGCATCTACTTCTACTACACAAAACTTGGAACATTCCGAAGATTCGGACGGGGAACAGATTTTGTATTCTGAAATCAGCTTGCCAGTGGTTCTCGGCTCTAAAACAAGTTCGAAAAGAGGTAGAAAGAAACTGATAACACCTAAACTTGTCGCAGCTTTAGACCGTTGTCAGTTGAGCATTAGAGACTCCGTTTACATTCTTCATGCGGTTGTAGAAGCGCTTGGTCTGAGCAGTGATGATTTCCCAATTAATAAATCCTCGATTCAGCGAATTCGTACTCAGATGAGAAAATCTAGGGCAGAAGCAATAAAAACTGATTTTCAGAACAATGTTCCTGATGTAGTCACAGTCCATTGGGATGGAAAACTATTACCAGGGCTGAATGTGCGAGTTTCAAAAGAAGAACGCTTGCCAATTATAGTTTCATTTGACGACAAAGAACAGCTTCTTGCAGTACCAAAACTGGAGAGTTCTTCTGGTAAACATCAATCAAAAGCCGTCTCAACCGCCCTTTGTGACTGGGATCTTAATAACAAGGTACAAATAATGTGCTGCGACACCACATCTTCGAATACTGGACGTTACAATGGAGCTTGCGCTCTTTTAGAACACACTTTAGAAAGAGAATTGTTATTGTTCGCTTGTCGTCATCATGTTTATGAGTTGGTCTTAAAAACTGTCTTCGAAACCAAGATAAAGCACATTACTAACAGCGCAGATATTCCGCTCTTTAAGAAGTTCAGAGACAATTGGAAAAACATCGATTCAAATAAAATTGAACTATGCCTTGATTTCGTTAAAGAATATGTTGCTGAGACAAATATTACATCTTTGATAATGTTTTATAAAGCAGAACTGGAAAAATCTTTCATAAGAGACGATTATCGTGAATTAGTTGAACTTTGCGTAGTGTTTCTGGGAGGAGATACAAACAAGAAAATAAAAATCAGGCCCCCTGGAGCTATGCATCAGGCACGGTGGATGGCAAGAGCGATTTACTCTTTAAAAATATGTTTGCTGCAATCTCAAGTCAGAATGATTGTAAAAGACAAAAGGGCCCTACAAGATGTTTGCCTATTTATCGTCACATTGTATGTAAAGCCTTGGCTTGAATGCACAGTGGCGATTAAAGCACCTAACTAAGATTTGTACTTCTTGAAGGCATTAAAAGAGTACGAAAAAGTTGACACAACAGTTTCAAAAGCTGCTTTAAGCAAGTTCAGCCACCACCTATGGTACTTGTGTGAAGAGACAGTCATTTTATCACTGTTTGATAATGAGGTTGATAACCAAACCAAAATGAAAATGATTGAAAACTTAGACAGGGACAAGAGGTCAGATGTTGGCAAACGCTATATTCCATCAAAGGAAGAAATGTCCCAAACGTTGTTTGGTAAGCTAAAATTATTTTTTGTGTCTGTTTTTTATATACTTTACGTTGTAATTCTTTTTGTTAATTAACCTGTTTTTTGTTTAAGATAAAACGCTGGATGATTTTGTATCGGAGAAGAGCAAACAATTTCTAACTCGACTGCAGATTGACGACAGTTTTCTTCAGGAAGATATATCTTCTTGGGATGATAATGCTGCTTTTCTGAAAGCTAAAAGTAGGATAAGTCGGTTGAAGGTTGTAAATGACACTGCTGAGAGGGCTGTCAAATTAATGCAAGATTTTCAAGGACTTATCACGGCGGAAGAAGAACAAAAACAATACCTGTTGCGCTGTGTCAACGAACATAGACATTTATATCCGGACTGTAAAAAAACCACACTAAATAGAAGTTACCCTGCCTGATTGTTATTATTTTATGTGTTTAAATAAATATAAATATTACAATAAATTCATTTTCCATTTTATTCACTTCATTAATTTCATTTTGATTAATTTTATAGAAGATACACAAAACTTGGAACATTCCGAAGATTCGGACGGGGAACAGATTTTGTATTCTGAAATCAGCTTGCCAGTGGTTCTCGGCTCTAAAACAAGTTCGAAAAGAGGTAGAAAGAAACTGATAACACCTAAACTTGTCGCAGCTTTAGACCGTTGTCAGTTGAGCATTAGAGACTCCGTTTACATTCTTCATGCGGTTGTAGAAGCGCTTGGTCTGAGCAGTGATGATTTCCCAATTAATAAATCCTCGATTCAGCGAATTCGTACTCAGATGAGAAAATCTAGGGCAGAAGCAATAAAAACTGATTTTCAGAACAATGTTCCTGATGTAGTCACAGTCCATTGGGATGGAAAACTATTACCAGGGCTGAATGTGCGAGTTTCAAAAGAAGAACGCTTGCCAATTATAGTTTCATTTGACGACAAAGAACAGCTTCTTGCAGTACCAAAACTGGAGAGTTCTTCTGGTAAACATCAATCAAAAGCCGTCTCAACCGCCCTTTGTGACTGGGATCTTAATAACAAGGTACAAATAATGTGCTGCGACACCACATCTTCGAATACTGGACGTTACAATGGAGCTTGCGCTCTTTTAGAACACACTTTAGAAAGAGAATTGTTATTGTTCGCTTGTCGTCATCATGTTTATGAGTTGGTCTTAAAAACTGTCTTCGAAACCAAGATAAAGCACATTACTAACAGCGCAGATATTCCGCTCTTTAAGAAGTTCAGAGACAATTGGAAAAACATCGATTCAAATAAAATTGAACTATGCCTTGATTTCGTTAAAGAATATGTTGCTGAGACAAATATTACATCTTTGATAATGTTTTATAAAGCAGAACTGGAAAAATCTTTCATAAGAGACGATTATCGTGAATTAGTTGAACTTTGCGTAGTGTTTCTGGGAGGAGATACAAACAAGAAAATAAAAATCAGGCCCCCTGGAGCTATGCATCAGGCACGGTGGATGGCAAGAGCGATTTACTCTTTAAAAATATGTTTGCTGCAATCTCAAGTCAGAATGATTGTAAAAGACAAAAGGGCCCTACAAGATGTTTGCCTATTTATCGTCACATTGTATGTAAAGCCTTGGCTTGAATGCACAGTGGCGATTAAAGCACCTAACTAAGATTTGTACTTCTTGAAGGCATTAAAAGAGTACGAAAAAGTTGACACAACAGTTTCAAAAGCTGCTTTAAGCAAGTTCAGCCACCACCTATGGTACTTGTGTGAAGAGACAGTCATTTTATCACTGTTTGATAATGAGGTTGATAACCAAACCAAAATGAAAATGATTGAAAACTTAGACAGGGACAAGAGGTCAGATGTTGGCAAACGCTATATTCCATCAAAGGAAGAAATGTCCCAAACGTTGTTTGGTAAGCTAAAATTATTTTTTGTGTCTGTTTTTTATATACTTTACGTTGTAATTCTTTTTGTTAATTAACCTGTTTTTTGTTTAAGATAAAACGCTGGATGATTTTGTATCGGAGAAGAGCAAACAATTTCTAACTCGACTGCAGATTGACGACAGTTTTCTTCAGGAAGATATATCTTCTTGGGATGATAATGCTGCTTTTCTGAAAGCTAAAAGTAGGATAAGTCGGTTGAAGGTTGTAAATGACACTGCTGAGAGGGCTGTCAAATTAATGCAAGATTTTCAAGGACTTATCACGGCGGAAGAAGAACAAAAACAATACCTGTTGCGCTGTGTCAACGAACATAGACATTTATATCCGGACTGTAAAAAAACCACACTAAATAGAAGTTACCCTGCCTGATTGTTATTATTTTATGTGTTTAAATAAATATAAATATTACAATAAATTCATTTTCCATTTTATTCACTTCATTAATTTCATTTTGATTAATTTTATAGAAGATACACAAAACTTGGAACATTCCGAAGATTCGGACGGGGAACAGATTTTGTATTCTGAAATCAGCTTGCCAGTGGTTCTCGGCTCTAAAACAAGTTCGAAAAGAGGTAGAAAGAAACTGATAACACCTAAACTTGTCGCAGCTTTAGACCGTTGTCAGTTGAGCATTAGAGACTCCGTTTACATTCTTCATGCGGTTGTAGAAGCGCTTGGTCTGAGCAGTGATGATTTCCCAATTAATAAATCCTCGATTCAGCGAATTCGTACTCAGATGAGAAAATCTAGGGCAGAAGCAATAAAAACTGATTTTCAGAACAATGTTCCTGATGTAGTCACAGTCCATTGGGATGGAAAACTATTACCAGGGCTGAATGTGCGAGTTTCAAAAGAAGAACGCTTGCCAATTATAGTTTCATTTGACGACAAAGAACAGCTTCTTGCAGTACCAAAACTGGAGAGTTCTTCTGGTAAACATCAATCAAAAGCCGTCTCAACCGCCCTTTGTGACTGGGATCTTAATAACAAGGTACAAATAATGTGCTGCGACACCACATCTTCGAATACTGGACGTTACAATGGAGCTTGCGCTCTTTTAGAACACACTTTAGAAAGAGAATTGTTATTGTTCGCTTGTCGTCATCATGTTTATGAGTTGGTCTTAAAAACTGTCTTCGAAACCAAGATAAAGCACATTACTAACAGCGCAGATATTCCGCTCTTTAAGAAGTTCAGAGACAATTGGAAAAACATCGATTCAAATAAAATTGAACTATGCCTTGATTTCGTTAAAGAATATGTTGCTGAGACAAATATTACATCTTTGATAATGTTTTATAAAGCAGAACTGGAAAAATCTTTCATAAGAGACGATTATCGTGAATTAGTTGAACTTTGCGTAGTGTTTCTGGGAGGAGATACAAACAAGAAAATAAAAATCAGGCCCCCTGGAGCTATGCATCAGGCACGGTGGATGGCAAGAGCGATTTACTCTTTAAAAATATGTTTGCTGCAATCTCAAGTCAGAATGATTGTAAAAGACAAAAGGGCCCTACAAGATGTTTGCCTATTTATCGTCACATTGTATGTAAAGCCTTGGCTTGAATGCACAGTGGCGATTAAAGCACCTAACTAAGATTTGTACTTCTTGAAGGCATTAAAAGAGTACGAAAAAGTTGACACAACAGTTTCAAAAGCTGCTTTAAGCAAGTTCAGCCACCACCTATGGTACTTGTGTGAAGAGACAGTCATTTTATCACTGTTTGATAATGAGGTTGATAACCAAACCAAAATGAAAATGATTGAAAACTTAGACAGGGACAAGAGGTCAGATGTTGGCAAACGCTATATTCCATCAAAGGAAGAAATGTCCCAAACGTTGTTTGGTAAGCTAAAATTATTTTTTGTGTCTGTTTTTTATATACTTTACGTTGTAATTCTTTTTGTTAATTAACCTGTTTTTTGTTTAAGATAAAACGCTGGATGATTTTGTATCGGAGAAGAGCAAACAATTTCTAACTCGACTGCAGATTGACGACAGTTTTCTTCAGGAAGATATATCTTCTTGGGATGATAATGCTGCTTTTCTGAAAGCTAAAAGTAGGATAAGTCGGTTGAAGGTTGTAAATGACACTGCTGAGAGGGCTGTCAAATTAATGCAAGATTTTCAAGGACTTATCACGGCGGAAGAAGAACAAAAACAATACCTGTTGCGCTGTGTCAACGAACATAGACATTTATATCCGGACTGTAAAAAAACCACACTAAATAGAAGTTACCCTGCCTGATTGTTATTATTTTATGTGTTTAAATAAATATAAATATTACAATAAATTCATTTTCCATTTTATTCACTTCATTAATTTCATTTTGATTAATTTTATAGAAGATACACAAAACTTGGAACATTCCGAAGATTCGGACGGGGAACAGATTTTGTATTCTGAAATCAGCTTGCCAGTGGTTCTCGGCTCTAAAACAAGTTCGAAAAGAGGTAGAAAGAAACTGATAACACCTAAACTTGTCGCAGCTTTAGACCGTTGTCAGTTGAGCATTAGAGACTCCGTTTACATTCTTCATGCGGTTGTAGAAGCGCTTGGTCTGAGCAGTGATGATTTCCCAATTAATAAATCCTCGATTCAGCGAATTCGTACTCAGATGAGAAAATCTAGGGCAGAAGCAATAAAAACTGATTTTCAGAACAATGTTCCTGATGTAGTCACAGTCCATTGGGATGGAAAACTATTACCAGGGCTGAATGTGCGAGTTTCAAAAGAAGAACGCTTGCCAATTATAGTTTCATTTGACGACAAAGAACAGCTTCTTGCAGTACCAAAACTGGAGAGTTCTTCTGGTAAACATCAATCAAAAGCCGTCTCAACCGCCCTTTGTGACTGGGATCTTAATAACAAGGTACAAATAATGTGCTGCGACACCACATCTTCGAATACTGGACGTTACAATGGAGCTTGCGCTCTTTTAGAACACACTTTAGAAAGAGAATTGTTATTGTTCGCTTGTCGTCATCATGTTTATGAGTTGGTCTTAAAAACTGTCTTCGAAACCAAGATAAAGCACATTACTAACAGCGCAGATATTCCGCTCTTTAAGAAGTTCAGAGACAATTGGAAAAACATCGATTCAAATAAAATTGAACTATGCCTTGATTTCGTTAAAGAATATGTTGCTGAGACAAATATTACATCTTTGATAATGTTTTATAAAGCAGAACTGGAAAAATCTTTCATAAGAGACGATTATCGTGAATTAGTTGAACTTTGCGTAGTGTTTCTGGGAGGAGATACAAACAAGAAAATAAAAATCAGGCCCCCTGGAGCTATGCATCAGGCACGGTGGATGGCAAGAGCGATTTACTCTTTAAAAATATGTTTGCTGCAATCTCAAGTCAGAATGATTGTAAAAGACAAAAGGGCCCTACAAGATGTTTGCCTATTTATCGTCACATTGTATGTAAAGCCTTGGCTTGAATGCACAGTGGCGATTAAAGCACCTAACTAAGATTTGTACTTCTTGAAGGCATTAAAAGAGTACGAAAAAGTTGACACAACAGTTTCAAAAGCTGCTTTAAGCAAGTTCAGCCACCACCTATGGTACTTGTGTGAAGAGACAGTCATTTTATCACTGTTTGATAATGAGGTTGATAACCAAACCAAAATGAAAATGATTGAAAACTTAGACAGGGACAAGAGGTCAGATGTTGGCAAACGCTATATTCCATCAAAGGAAGAAATGTCCCAAACGTTGTTTGGTAAGCTAAAATTATTTTTTGTGTCTGTTTTTTATATACTTTACGTTGTAATTCTTTTTGTTAATTAACCTGTTTTTTGTTTAAGATAAAACGCTGGATGATTTTGTATCGGAGAAGAGCAAACAATTTCTAACTCGACTGCAGATTGACGACAGTTTTCTTCAGGAAGATATATCTTCTTGGGATGATAATGCTGCTTTTCTGAAAGCTAAAAGTAGGATAAGTCGGTTGAAGGTTGTAAATGACACTGCTGAGAGGGCTGTCAAATTAATGCAAGATTTTCAAGGACTTATCACGGCGGAAGAAGAACAAAAACAATACCTGTTGCGCTGTGTCAACGAACATAGACATTTATATCCGGACTGTAAAAAAACCACACTAAATAGAAGTTACCCTGCCTGATTGTTATTATTTTATGTGTTTAAATAAATATAAATATTACAATAAATTCATTTTCCATTTTATTCACTTCATTAATTTCATTTTGATTAATTTTATAGAAGATTGGAATAATAGGACAAAAAACATTTTTTGATCAAATTTGAAGCTCGGTCGGCACGGGTTGCAATCATGCTAGAAAGATCAAATTTCATATTTGAGTAAGGTTTTACATTTATAAAAGATACAGGGGGTATGCATTACAAAATTCGAAAAAAAATTTTTTTTTGCCATATAAGGGACACCCTAATGTACATATATGTATATACATACATATGCATGTAATTATAAACTTGTAGTTGTTTTTTTAATGCACTTTATTTTAGATTCACATTATTGTTTAACATACACCACTTTTATGTACATACATACGTATATACATATATTCTATTGCATCTAACCATGCAACTACACACCTGATCATATTAATAGGTACACACATCAACTCTGACTTAAAGGTAACAAAATAAAGACTTATTCATTGATTCAAACTTAATATTTGTTCTCTATTTGTTTTTAATAAAATAAACTTAACTGTAACATAGGATAATAATATAACATAAAAGAGATAATTTTGTGTTTCAGATACGTTTTCAGAGTGATCATAATAATAGGTACACTTCATGTGTTGGTAGGAAAAAAAATTTTAATTTCCATTTTGTATTTTTATACTCGTTACTCGTAGAGTAAAAGGGTATACTAGATTCGTCGGAAAGTATGTAACAGGCAGAAGGAAACGTTTCCGACCCCATAAAGTATATATATTCTTGATCAGGATCACTAGCCGAGTCGATCTAGCCATGTCCGTCTGTCCGTCTGTCTGTCCGGATGAACGCTGAGATCTCGGAAACTATGGGAGCTAGGCTATTGAGATTTGGCGTGCAGATTCCTGAGCTTCTTACGCAGCGCAAGTTTGTTTCAGTATAGTGCCACGCCCACTCTAACGCCCACAAACCGCCCAAAACTGTAACTCCTACAGTTTTGATGCTAGACAGAAAATGTTATTAAAATTTTAACTGAAATGTATTGTTCTCATCAATACCTATCGATTGACCTAAAAAAAAGTTTGCCACGCCCACTTAAACGCCCACAAATCGCGAAAACCTGTGACGCCCACAATTTGCATGCTAGATAAAAAATTTTAACTGATATGTATTGGTGTCGTCAATACCTATCGATTGATCCAAAAATAAATTTGCCACGCCCACTCTAACGCCCATAACGCTTAAATCTGTCTACCGCCGGTAGGTGGCGCATTTTAATTTCGCTTTGCTGCTTGCATATCTCAATTTCCCTTTGAGTAACGGGTATCTGATAGTCGAGGTACTCGACTTCTTCTTCTTTTGAGTTCTCGCCATTATTTTTGTGAATAATAAATAATAATAATAAATATATTGGATATGATTTTCATATGCATGATATGTCAAATATGCAAAAACAACATGTGCTTGATCGTATTATTTTTGTGTGAATTTCTGAACGAATTTCTGTACAATCAAAAACTGATTTCGACCAGCCGTTTACAATATGATTTTGTATATGTATAATCTTATGTCTAATGATAACATAAGGGTGAAAAATCGAAGCACGGAGTTCTACTACGAATTTCAGGCCATTTTTGAGGATAACCTCGCAGTAAACGGCGCATGCTACTTGAGATGAACGTGGCTGAGGAGGAGAACGAGGAGCAGCTTCCGGACTATACCGAGTACTTGGACGGATACTACGAAGAAATGAAATCGTTGTTACCTTAAAAACTGCAGGAGACATCCAAAGGCACCTTTGCTAATTTCAAAGACAACGAAGGAAAACTGCGAATCTCGAGGAAGCGCGAAAGACCTAATATGTGGAAAGTGTTAAGAACACAAATATGAAGCCGGATGTGGTGAATATATTGACGTTCTTCGGTAAGCTAATCTCCTTAGTTGATCTCACCGAAGATAATAATTTTTTGAATTTTATTTTGTTTAGCAGAACAAAGCTTTTGTTTTAACAAAAGCCATAAAAGTGTTTCATTTACCATTCAACCCTTTTTATTTTTTTAAAAGAAAAGAACAATTTAATTTAACATCGATGTTTTTCTATTAAAGCATCGATGGTGTTGGTGTTTCTCCAGCTATACAAATCAATTAAAGGCACTGATATTCAAAAAACACCACGTAGTTTCAAACAAGTTAAGCTTTCATATAAGAACCTTTAGTGATATTTTTATTGCCGCTTTGTCTTGCCTGTCTTTTCATAAAAATGTAGTTTTTAAAGCCATACGCATTGTAACAGTAATCACTTGTTATTTAGTTGGTACACACTAAGACTTCTTATTACCAAAAACGGAATGAAAATAATGCAGAGCCTAAACATTTTATATCACAAAGAAGAATTGCCTACACCGATAAAAATCGTATATCAATTTAATAGGTGTATGTGAAAGTGACACCTCACCTGGGATAATATTTTTGGAATCAATATGATCACTTATATGAAAAATATCATTTTAGCGGAGGTTACTTTGATACCGATAATGGCTTTTTATAGCTGTTCGAGTTTCGAACTGTACCTAATTTTGTACAAAATATTAAAAAATATGGGCGCTAGACGGGTTCTAGCGTTATGGGCGTTAGAGTGGACGTGGCACCCAGCTGAGTCAAACTTGCGCTGCTCAAGAAGCCTAAGAAGCTTAATCCCAAAATTTTAACTCTTAGATTCCGAGATCTCAGCGTTCATACGGACAGACGGAAATGGCTAGTGATCCTGATCAATAATATATACCTTATGGGGTCGGAAATGCTTCTTTCTACGTGTTACATACTTTCCGACGAATTTAGTATACCCTTTTAATCTTCGAGTAACTGGTATAAAGTGATATGTGATAATTGAGAAGAAAATTTCATACGGGTATTGTTTCGTTATTATTTCTGTGTTGATTTATCCGTACTGCAGACAGACCTCTTATGTACACACGACAATCGGTTAGATTTTTATCGGAGCTTATTTATTGAACGTTTTACAATAAAGCTTCGGAATATTAACTGGCAGTACAAACCGTTAATTGACTCGTATATAATGAATATAGTTAATTTAGGTTTGGTATGCTCAGTGCATTTCAATAAAAAACGCTATTTCTTAATTTGCACTTCATTTCACATTAATAAACGTGAGTACATC